TCTGTTTTCCTAATATGAGTATTCACTGCTATGAATTTCCCTCATAAGACTGCTTTCATTGTGTCCCATAGATTCTGATATGTTGTATTGTCACTGTCACTTAATTGAAGAAACTGCCTGATTTCTTCTTTAATTTCCTCTGTGACCCACTGGTTATTCAGAAGTGTGTTGTGCAATTTCCATGTGTTTATGAAATTTTTGCAGTTTCTTTTGCTAGTGATCTCCAATTTCATCACACTATGGTCTGATAATATACAGGGGATAGTATCAATTACTTTGCACTTACTTAAACATGTTCTAAGAGTGAGTATGTGGTTTATTTTGGAGGACCCATATGGAGATGAAAAGAATGTGTATTCTGATTTTGGGGGGGTGGAACATTCTGTAAACATCTGTTAAGTTCATTTATTCAAGAGTTCGATTGAGTTCTAGTATTTCATTGTTTGTTTTTTGTCTAGTTGATTTATCTATTTGTGCCAATGGGGTATTGAGGTCCCCCACTACAATTGTATTAGTGTTTATATGATTTTTCATGTCCATTCGAATTTGTTTTATATAGTTGGGTGCACTACTGTTTGGTGCATAGATATTTATGATTGTCATCTCTTCTTGTTGGATTGTTCCCTTTACAAGGATGTAGTGTCCTTCTTTGTCTCTCTTAATCAGTGTTGGTTTGAAATCTACTTGATCTGCAAAGAGGATAGCTACTCCTGCTTTTTTTTGCGTTCCTGTCACATGGAGTATTGTTTTCCACCCTTTAACTTTCAGTCTATGAGTTTCTTTTTGAATTAAGTGTGTTTCCTGTATGCAACATATTGTTGGATCTTGTTTCTTGACCCATTCTGCCAGTCTATTTCTTTTGATTGGTGAGTTGAGACCATTAATATTGATGGTTATAACTGATACATATTGAGTTATCATTGTCATGACTTTTTCTTTTTGTTAGATTCTCCCCCTTTGCTTTTAATTTCCTGTCATGCCTGATGGATTCATTTTGCTGGGCTTCCTGGGGTTGTGATCCTCATTGTCTTTTCCTAGGATTTTGTCTAAAATTTTTTGGAGTTCTGGTTTGGTATTCATGAAGTTCCTAAGGTGCTCTTTGTCATGAAAATATCTTATTTCACCATCAGTTTTGAAAGATAGTTTTGCAGGGTACATCAATCTGGGTTGGAGGTTGTTTTCCTTTAGGGCTTGAAATACATCACTCTAACCTCTTCTTGCCTTGAGGGTTTGCGTTTAGAAGTCTGCTGTGATTCTGATGGGCTTTCCTTTGTATGTGGTTTGTTTCTTTTCTCTTACTGCTTGTAGAACTTTGTTCTTCTGTTGGGTTTCTGGAATCTTAACTAATATATGCCTATGTGTAGATATTCTTTGATCAAGGCTAGTTGGAGTCCTATAAGCCTCACTTATCTGTATGTCAAGTTCTTTTCCCCTGCTTGGGAAGTTTTCTGCTATTACTTCTGTGAACAGTTTTTTATGTCTTCTGCACTCTCTCCTGTTTCTTCATTGACTCCAATCAGTCTTATGTTATTCTTCTTTGCATTGTCTAGC